CAACAAAATCGAACCAAACCAATCCACCTTATATATAAGATCTGGGTCTACATCATCAGGGATCAAAATATTCATACTATAACAATTGGGTATCAGTGTGCATTAATATTTATTTATTTTTTTTTTATTTTTACCAATATAAGAATTCTCAAATAAGCTGAGAAGGATACCTTCTAAGTTCTATCATCCTAAACGTTAAAAACCAATATTTTAAAAATCGATCCGGAAACGGAACCGTTTTGGTCATTGGTTTATAGTCAACGATCCGACCGTCCGGTTTGAATAGATAGTTCATTCTAACAGGAAAATTTAAAAAATAAAAAACGGTCAAAAACCGTTGAACCGCCTGGGACAATGTTTTATTGACTTTTTCAACAGTTTTTGACCAGATTCTAGGTTTATGCAAAAACGGAACCGATTATCTGAACGGTTCAACCATCCGAGTCAATGGCGATTCAAAACCCTGTGAAATTCAGTGTATGCAACTCTTTCAATACATATACCTATCCCTGGTATTTTGATCCTTGTCTGCATTACATGTCCCGATTATAATTTGGTTGGGAATGCATGGTTTTAATTGTGATGAAACAATTATGACACAAACCAATTCTTTGTGTAATTTTATATATAAAGATATCCTTGGGTCTAATATATTTTTCTCATGGTATTCTTACAATATTATCAATATTACGATATTCAAAACTGCCAATTTTACAAATAAAATGGTTTGTTTTGTCAAATTACATGTGCAAAATACAAATATCAATTATAATCGGAATGGGAATTCTGGTTCCAACTGTTTGATTGGGTGGAATCGGAATCTCATTTTCATTTATGCTGGAATGACATTCCCCCACCATTTGAAAGAATAGCTATTCCTTATTCCTCCATTGAGAATATAATTCTATTCTTGTTGATTTTAATTCTCATTCCCATTTCTATCTGAATCAAAAAAGATTATGGGAATAGACTATTCGGATTCCGATTTTAAAAAATTTCAATTCCAATTCAGACTGTAAACTAAACGGACCCTAAGTCTTATTAGGTCAAAACTGACTGTCTTAACTGCAAATCCTATTTAGGTTCTGGTTTGGTGTTAGGTCAAACCAGAACCTATTTAGGTTCTGGTTCTGGTTCTGGTCAAGACCGGGTCTACCCTGACTCATTGATAGCACTAACTTCAAATAAGACATGTACCTTTACAGATTTGGAGTATTGACCACAATTAATTCCTGATCTACTATCAGCAGGAATGGGCTGGTAATATCCAATCAGAAATGAACATGTCAACTAAGGATAAGTGGAACCTCAAAGTTAAATTTGAAAAGCCCAATTCAATTATCATGTTTTAAGCCTAAATCAAGAAGAAGAAAATAAAAAACAGAGAGAGACAAAGGGGTTTTTTGTTTTTATTTTTTATATTAATCACTGCCTAACAGTCCCTTAGGGATCGTTAATTTAATGCCTGTTGTTCTCCTAATTCTCATGGATTTCTTATTTCTTATGATAAGATTCCAAAAAGTCTTTATATTCTTTGAAGGGTGTAAAAGAATCAAATTCAAATTGAATCAAACAATCGAATTCAATTACAAAATATGAAAATTCAATCCAATATCCAATATGCGATGAATATTAAAAAAATAACATTTTATGTTGGAATTCGATTATATTTAGATATTTAATTTGAATTTGACTAATTAATTATTTTATATATATATATATGATGTTTATATAAAATATATAAATTGTTGACATAATTTAAATAGTATATATAAATTATCTAAAATATTTAATATTTTATATATCATATATTAATTATATAATCCGCTAAATTCTTATATTTATTAAATTGATTGAGGACATATCTTAATTGATTTGATTGGTCAAATGGTATGAACAGTAGAACAGGACATCCAAATTAGATTGGATTATATCAATTCAAAATAGGATTTTTGGATGCCGTTGACATCCTTAACTCTACCTCATTTAACATTCCTTACACATTGAAATGATGAGTTTTGCATTGTTAAATCAATTCAAAATAGTGAAATGATGACCTCTTTATTGGGTTTGGTCCACCATTAGGCCCCACTGCGATCTTAAGTCTAGCCAACATCTAAATCCGCCACGTTATAAAATATGCTGATTTGTCAACAAACAAATGACCTTAAACGGTTTGGTCAACCCATTTGTTGGATTATTGAGTTTGCATTGTTTTTCATTTTTTAATTGCGAGAATATCTTTGACACCAGAAAAGAACGATACCATAAGACCTTTCACCAATCCAAACCTACTCTCATGATTTCAAGTATTATAATTAGTCTCCTCATGAAATGACCTTTGAACTCAAAAGTTGAACCAGGGAGCCGTCCATGGTTTTAGCCTCCAATAAACCAGGTTTTCAACTTTATAGAGATTTGTATAACAATTCTGTTTTTTTTTTTTAAACTTTACTGTGTTACACAAGCCGTAGAGAATATTACTAAGACTAAAGTCCACTCACTGAGTAAGGGTGCCAATGGACCGATTTTGGATTGGACCTCGTCTAGTCCAAAATTAATTTGGACAGATTGGATGAACCAACAAGTATATTGGATTAGGTTGGATTAGATTGGATTGGACCTGATTCATTCGTAACAAATTTATATTGAATTAGGCTGAATTAAGCCAATATCTGATTCATTTATATAAGATAAAGAATATATGTGTCAATGGATCGAATTTGGATTAAAACCAATCTAAATCAAAGTAAATTTAAACAGATTAGATGATTCGAATATTGAATTGAACCAGTCTAAATTGGTCCAAAACATTCATTGGATTGGATTAGACGTGGTCCATTTATAATAGACTCACATTGGACTGGATAGAAAACCAATTGATGAGCAGAAGATAAAGCCGCATCAACTAACCAATCTGCTGCACGATTAGCCTTCCTATAAACATGTTTATAATGAAAGTAGACGTTCAGCCACTTGTTCAAATCCAAATATTCCCGAACAATTTTCCTCAGGTGCCATGGCAGATTGTAGATGAACTATATAGATAGCTAAATGCCATCCATAAGAGCCAAAGAGTGATAAGCATGGCTGAGAGTCTGAGACCCCATTTCACCATATTTTTTGCTGGTAGAACAAAACAGACCCCATCCCAACATCAACCAAGGTTTAGGGTTATCAGAGGGAGTGGGTGAGACAACTGAGAACAAAGTACATAACAATGCATCGATATGCTTTTCCCATTGGTCTAAGCATTGTGTGGAGCAGATAAAATAGCCGTTAAGGGCCCAAAGGTTTAGCCAACTTAATTAATACACGGTTAAACTCCTACTCCCAAACAGCAATTGGCACAGGAATCCAGGCAGGGACTAGGGAGGGATGGTCCGTCCATGTATAAAGCCGCCGAGCGTGGACGGGACAACACTTTTGTGTTGTCTTTGGACACAAAGGCCCAAAGCAGTACAAAAGGGTCTCCTGAAAATAGGGGACTGGTTTGTTATGCAAATGGGTCCCTTCTAAGGGGAACAACCAATTGGCCCCTCCTTGTCACGCCCCCCAGTCCCAGAGACTCCCATAGTCCAGTTTTTATTTCTTTTTTTGGGTAAGCCTCCCTACTCCCTACCTCATATTTGTGCTTAGACCTATGATTCGTTTCGTTTTTTTATACCCATTACCAAGAGAGTCGGACTCCCATTCATGGTAATGAAGTCGGAGGATTGARCCCATTTATTACCATTTATATCAATTAATTAAAAGGGCTTCAAATGCATATATTATATATATATATATACCATTATATTGGAATATATATACATATATATATATATATATATAAACAATGGGTTACATATATATACCATTATTTTGAATCGGGGATTCATTCCCAATCCAACCCATTCATATTTGAATATACATATATATATATATATACCATTAATATATGTTCATTAGTTAAATTGTCTCCATTCTTCAGAGCTTGAAGAGTCACATTTTCAAGTCTTATAAATATGGTTTAAACTTTAAAGTATCCATACACCTTTTTTAGTTTTTTTTTTTTTAATTTTAGTTTATATATATAAACAATGGGTTACTGAGAAAAAACATGTAAAAAATTATATTGAGACCCAAAAGACATGTTATCATCTAAGCCTTATAAGAGTAGCATACTCGGATATAAAGTGTATTGTATCAAAATTTTGATCTTTATTTATAAGAATTTCTTTAATAATTTTATTTATAATTATCATCTAAGGTTTATCCTGAATATGCTACTTATTATGTTTTTGTTCATTGCAATATTTATTGTCATAATAATAATAATAATTCATATTAAGGGAGAAATACACTGCAACCTATTGCAGAATTCTGAAATTACAGCCCTTCAATAGTCTATTAATAACCTCCTGTAAACCACATCCTATTTGTAAATTTGGCATCAATCCACAATCAGGATTTATCCCACCTGTAGAATGGGATTAAGAATTCTGAGGTGTGCTGAACAACCATTCTCCCTTTTATAAATGATATACAAAATTTTAATTTTTTATATTAATTTATTAATAGAATTTAATAATGGGGTTTCATGTTATCCATGCAAAATTCACAATAAATACATCCTTTTAAGTGACTTTATCTCCATTTTTTTCCTCTTCTTCATTGAGTTGTAAGTACTACACCAGTGGATGGATGGAGCAACCCATGTGATCGGGTAAATGGTTTTAACCGAATATGAAATCGTTCAATTTTTTTTTTTACCGATTTTTACTTCTTTTGATTTTTTTTTTTCGGAGGTCATTGTCGCAGAAGCCCAAGAGAATGGTTTTTTCTGAAGTTGCAGACTGCTTTCTGTTGGGTATCCGACATCCAACATCCACCCTTTCAATGGCATGCAACACTGCACACTTGCATCACCTGTAGACTCTTCAAATCCCTGATAAAAGGCTTTTTAAAAGAATTCAAAAAATGAAAAAACACAGACAACTATCCCTCTCTCCTGCCAGCCCCAAACAGTCCCTCCAGGCTATCGCCTCGATCAACGACACTGTTATCTCTCTCATTTTTTCCCTCCATTTAAGATTCTCGGATTCTCTGCCAGATTCTGGCATGCGCTCCTGCTCATCTTACCTTACTCCCTCTCACCTGTCAAGCCTCCTCTGTACCCTTCTCTGGTTCACTGCTTTACCGGATTTAGACTCCTCCCTCCCTTGAGCCTCCCGTTTTGTCTCCTTGTCACTCTTCCTTCACGCGCCCCTAAACCCTCAAACTAAAACCTCTCTCGACTCTAAACCCTTCTGGGTTCTCTCTCTCTCTCTGTATAATCCAATATTCCTCGTTACCTCTTTCTCTGGTTCTGTTCTTTCTTTCTCTCTTGTTAAGTGCGAGACATGAACCACAAAAAAGAGAAGCTCGTGGTGGAAGTGGTTGGAGCGCATAACTTAATGCCCAAAGATGGCCAAGGCTCGTCCTCGCCATTTGTGGAAGTGATCTTTGAAAACCAGACGCGAAGGACCCAAGTGAAGTTTAAGGATTTGAATCCGATATGGAACGAAAAGCTCGTTTTCGATGTAAATGATGTCGCTGATCTTCCGTACAGGACTGTGGAAATTAATATATTTAACGAGAAGAAATCCGGCAACAGTCGAAACTTTCTGGGTAAGGTTAGAGTGTCTGGCTCGAGTTTTGCTAGAGAGGGAGAAGAGATTGTTCAGCTCTACACCCTTGAGAAAAGGAGCTTGTTTTCTCATATTCGTGGTGACATCAGTCTCAAGCTCTATCTTTCCACCAAGGAAGAGAGGAAAGATGAAGGGAATGCTTCTACCAGTTTTGTGAAGCAGAAGCAGAAGAAGGTCAATCAAGTCTCGACGTCTTCGTCTATGTCTTTGCAGCAGCAACAGAACCAGCAACAACAGCAGCAGTTGATGCAGGAGAACCACAAACGGCCACAACCACCTCAGCATGGAAAACCGATAGAGCTGACAAACCCAGGTGAGATTAAACCTGTTGTGATCACCACTGGACCCCCCGGTCCATCTATCCTCGCTCCCACCGTTGGTGGTGGTGGTGGTGTCGGCGTTGGTGGTGGATTGATGGGTTTCCATTATAGTGGCTCGAACGAGTTTTCTCTAAAAGAAACTAGTCCTCATTTGGGTGGTGGGTCGTCTAGTAAAGATAAAACCAGTTCAACTTATGATCTTGTCGAGCAGATGCAGTATTTGTACGTTCGAGTTGTTAAAGCTCGCGACTTTTCGATCTTTGGAGGTGGGGAAGTGGTGGCGGAGGTGAAGCTTGGCAACTACAGAGGTATCACGAAGAGGGCTAGTTCCAGTAATGCTGAATGGAACCAGGTTTTTGCTTTCTCGAAGGACTGTATACAGTCATCCATGGTGGAGATTTTTGTGAAGGAGAAGGAAAAAGATGACTTCTTGGGCCGTATCTGGTTCGACTTGAGCGAGGTGCCGAAACGGGTTCCGCCAGACAGTCAGTTGGCTCCACAGTGGTACCGAATGGAGGACAAGAAAGGGGAGAAGGCCAAGGCTGGAGAGGTGATGGTTTCTGTCTGGTTCGGCACTCAGGCCGATGAAGCATTTGCAGAGGCGTGGCATTCAAAGGCGGCAAATGTCCATTTCGACGGTCTCTGTTCTATCAAGTCGAAGGTCTATCTGTCTCCAAAGCTGTGGTATCTTCGAGTGACTATCATTGAAGCACAGGACATTGTGCCCGGCGAGAAAGGGTCGGCAATGGCAAGGTATCCAGAGCTTTCGGCAAAGGCCCAGGTAGGAAACCAGGTACTGAGAACCAGGACTGCTCCGGCTTCGCCGAATCGAAGCCTTTCGAACCCGTTCTGGAACGAGGACATGATATTCGTCGTCCCCGAGCCCCTGGAAGATTATCTGATGGTGTGTGTGGAGGATCGAATAGGGCCAGGAAGAGACGAGGTCCTGGGTCGGGTACTGATTCCGGTGATGGCAATAGAACGGAGGACCGATGATAAGCCGGTGGTTTCCAAGTGGTTCAGCCTCGACATGCATTACAACTTCACCGAGTCCAAGGTGGTTTCGAGGTTTGGTTCACGGATTCATCTCCGGGTCTCACTTGACGGGGGATATCACGTCCTGGATGAATCGACGATGTACAGCAGCGATGTCCGGCCGACAGCGAAGCAGCTGTGGAAGCCCCACATTGGGGTGCTGGAGATGGGCATACTGGGAGCAAGTGGGCTCATGCCGATGAAGCTCAAAGAGGGAAAAGGCAGCTCTACGGATGCATACTGTGTAGCCAAGTATGGGCAGAAATGGGTCCGCACGCGTACTGTCGTGGACAGCTTGGCGCCAAAGTGGAACGAGCAGTATACGTGGGAAGTGTTCGACCCTTGCACTGTGATCACTGTTGGAGTGTTCGACAATTGTCACCTGGACAAAACCAGCGTCACAGTGGGCGCCGGGGTTCGTGATTCTCGGATTGGCAAGGTCAGAATCCGGCTGTCCACGTTGGAGTCCGACCGAGTCTACACTCATGCATACCCACTGCTGATGCTGCACACCTCGGGCGTCAAGAAAATGGGGGAGCTTCACTTGGCTGTTCGATTTTCATGCGCCAACATGGCTAATGTCCTGCACATGTACATGTCCCCACTGCTGCCCAAGATGCACTACGTGCGGCCATTGTCAGTCAACCAACTGGAGAGCCTGAGGTACCAGGCAATGAATGTGGTCGCTGCCAGGTTGAGTCGGGCAGAGCCACCGCTGGGGAGAGAGGTGGTTGAGTACATGCTGGACCATGACTCGCACATGTGGAGCATGAGACGAAGCAAGGCTAACTTCTTCCGACTGGTATCTGTACTGGGGATACTTATCGCCATGGGACGATGGGTGGAATCCATCCGAAGTTGGCAAAAGCCTGTATACTCGGTCCTCTTCCTGGCGTTCTTTCTTGTGCTTGTCTCCTTTCCCGAGCTGATCCTCCCAACCATACTGCTCTGTCTTTCTTTCACGGGTCTTTGGCGGTATCGCTCACGGCCGCGTCACCCTCCCCACATGGACACTAGACTCTCGTACGCAGAGACAGCGTTTGCCGATGAACTGGATGAGGAGTTCGACACATTTCCAACAACCCGGAGCGCTGAGCTCGTACGAATGAGGTATGACCGGCTGAGGAGTGTGGCTGGGAGGATACAAACAGTTGTGGGTGATTTGGCAACTCAAGGCGAACGCTTCCAAGCATTGCTTAGTTGGAGAGATCCACGGGCCACTTTCCTGTTCGTGGTGCTTTGTTTGATTGCTGCCGTCGGTTTCTACGCCGTGCCGTTTCGTGTGGTGGTGGCCTTGTGGGGGTTGTATGCCTTGAGGCCACCCAGGTTCAGGAGCAAGCTGCCCTCTCCGGCTCTGAGCTTCTTCAGAAGGCTGCCTTCTAAAGCTGATAGTTTATTGTAGAAAAAAAAAAGATAGAGAAATGCATGGTTTTGTTTTTGGGGTTGTTTGTTGGATTAAGGCTTTTTGGTTTTTGTAATTATTATATGGGGTTTTTTTAGAACTTATTGGAAGCCTCATCATGTACTCACTCATGTGGTGGTGGCATATGGCCATATGCCCTCTTTGTTTAGATAATTGGATGTAGACCCTGTCCTCTCCTCTTGGTGGTGGTGACTGTTGAAGGGGGAGGGGGGGACAATTTTGTAATTTGGATTTGGAATGAACAGATGTCTTATCTTTTGTATAAGTAGAACGTAGGATGTTTTTATCATTTCTTGTGGAAGCTTTGGCTCTTTTCAGTTCCCCCCCTACTGTTGTTTTTCTCTGATGAGTCCAAATGGTACCACTGAATGACTGAATTCTCTAATTTCAGAATATCATGTAGAACAATTCCACAGCATACTTTGATCTTCTTCTAGATTTCATATTTGAAATTGAATCAGACTTGGAGATGATTCAAGTTCAATTTAATATCCAAGTGATCTTTGAAAATACCAGTTCGGATTTGAATGAATAATAAAGAAATAACCTATAATATAGTATTTCTTGTGTGTTCTGCTGTGGCAAGTTTAGTTTAGTTAGAGAAAGTATGTGTTGATAGGCCTGTTTATGGGCCGGGATTCCCATGAACATTTTACATGCTGTGGGCTTGAGCTTCGCGCAGGCCCATTCAAATATTGGTAAAAGTTCAACCCGAGCCCAGCGGTGCATCAACGGATCTAGCTGTTAGTCAATATGCACTGCATGCCTTTATGTTTCTTTTAAACAAAACCATTGCTGCCCACGAGTCGTTCCCACACGACATTACAGGTGCATATTGGTGTCTTGGCAACTCTGGCTTGATTAGGTTGGGTTGAGGCTTGACGAAAAAAATGGAGAGAAGAGATTGGGTTGAGGCCAACTGTCATCCAAACTGACTTGTTGTCATTTGTTGAAACTTGAAACCCCAACCCTAACTTTGTCTCTTCATTTATTTTGGCTAGATATTCCTATTTGGTAATACCCAAACCCAACAGTAGTAAAATAAAAGTTAATAAAAACATGCAAGGGAGAAGCAAACTGAAGTGCTGATTCAAACTCAAATCAACAAAAGGTAGGGTCATTCCTAAATTCTTCGTGGGTCTTCATCTTTTCATTGGTGCTGCTGTGCTGTGAATGGGTATCTATCTCTTGAAGCTATACCACATGAGCTGCCTGGTTACTTTGTATACCTATATTTATTGATTTACAACCTATAAAACTTCTTTTCAAAGTTACAGCTCTAAAATATGTTTTTATGAAGAGGCAATAGCTGCCAGTCAAAGCGTTCAAGGCTCTCACTGTTATTGAATAATTCATTCAACTCTGCCACCACTCTGACATGCTCTGCTTCCAAAATCCCATTCTTTATCCATATTTGTGCCTCCCTTTACTGCAACAAAGCTTTACCTAAAAGCACAATTTAATATACTGCGCTAAAGTTCAAAGTTCCAAACATTCTCATTATTGTGAAAAACCTTTCCACCGTGTTTTATAAAGAAAAAAAAAAGCATGATTGACAATTCAATTGTTGTCCTGTGATCAGAATTCTGCCTTCTACCAAAAAAGAAAAAAGATCAGAATTCTGCCCTTAACACTTGTGCCAATATCATCATAGAAACTTAGGCAAGTACATAACTCTCAAAGTGGAGAAGCATCGATATCTAGCATTAGCAGATTGGCCTAAGCTTCCAAAACATGTATGCATGCTTGCAAGAAATTAGACTGTTTTTTAGAGAAAGAAACCTATATATAAATGGAGCCTAGCCAGAAGATGATAACATTGTCCCCTCTTGGTTCGACTGTTGGTGGGGCGTTTTATAACGTGAATTGTTTTTCTTGTTGCTGGTTTGAAAAAACAAATCAAAACCAATTTGTTTTAAAACAGACATTTCTGAAAAAAAAAATACAAGAAAGATGTTTTTGATTGTGTATGTGTTTTTGCTTTCAAAACTGAAACCAAAAACATGTTTCCATTTATTTATTCAACATCTTGTTCCATAAATAATATAATTTCTATACTAAAAAACTTGTTTTTGCTTTAAAATCCAATATTTTATTGGTTCCAAAAACATATATTATTTTTCAAAACAAAACCAACTTGTTTTTTCCTTTGAAAACAAAAACACAGTTCAAGAACATGTTTTCATTTTTTGCTGATGTCGCAATTCCAAGTAAATGAAAACAAAAACATTCATGTTGTAAAACATCCCCGACATGTATCTATGTATCGATACTTATAACTTTGCTCATTGTTTTCACAGGAAAAAAATGGTTTTTCAGTCCCTAACTGATCCTCTAAGAAGTTGCAGCAGGTTTAATATTCATAGTATGACCAATGTTCAATAGTGTGGCAGGTTGTTATTCCCCTAACTAGTCCTCTAAGAGCAGTTTGAACATTGAATAACCACTAACCATAACTGAGAGTGTTTTACAATGCACATAGCAACTACTAGCAATAAGAGTGTTTAACATAAGTTGCAACAGGTTATTATTCTTCCTGTTACTTGCATTGAGCATTGATGGAAACATCAAGAAAATTATTATTTGGAGTAGGGCTGCAAATAGATCAAACACTTTATAGTATAAGTAGATCTAAATTTGATTCCTTAACATTCAAAGTTTGGTCCTTGTATCTGATTCATGAAACCAGAAAATACATTTTATAAGTGTTTTAAGGCTATGTTTGGTTTAAAGGAAAAGGTAGGGAAAGGAAGGGAAACCGATACAAATATACAAACATTGTATAGGTTTCCTACCTTTTCTTTCAAACCAAACACAACATTAACTTCTCAAAGCACTTGGCAAAAATTGATTGTGTAGGGATAGCAATGCCATATTATATAAGTGTAAGAACTTTTATAAGAGGGTAAATTTCTAAAACCTCCCTGAAGTTTTTGATGTTGCTAAAACTTTCCTAAAGTTTGTTAATTGCAATCACCTCCCCTAAACTTTCGAACACAGTTGCAAGTAGTTCCCCTCTCTTGGAATCCTCTAACAAGGGGTCTTAAAATGTCCAAAATACCCATGCAATTACTTTTGATCAAGATGTTTATTTTTCTAATTTTCTCTTCATACCAATCACTACCCCAGACCCTTCCAATCTCTTTTCTAAAATTGATTTATTTTTCAAATTTGCCCTTCATATCAATCGCTCAAAGGTAAAGCTACAACTTTAAAATCTCTTATATTTTGTTGTTCATGAGGTTTTATTAAGAAAAACAGCCTCAAAAATAATTGCTTGGGTTTTTTGGACATTTTTGTGCCTTTTGTTAGAGGATTCTAACAAAGAGATTCTACTTGCAACTATGTCACAAAGTTCAAGAGAGGTGATTGTAATTACAAAACTTCAGCAGAGGTTTCAACAATTTACCCTATATAATACTACATTTTATAGAATTTAATATGGGGTCTTCTCCGATTTTAAACCATCCTATTGTGGTAAAAACCCTAAAAAATCCACAACCCTACCCAAATTTAAAAAAAAAAAAAGGTTTTCATTTTCAAAACCATGTATGAACAAAACTCGCCCAGTCACCCGCATGTGAAACATTACCATATGCACACTTTCACAATGGACCAACTCTAGTAGTTCTGTTAGATTTCTGAAATCTAATAGTTTGCCCAATAATTCATCTCAACTATTTCATTCATGTTCTGCTGCAGCTAGTCATGTTCAATGCCTTTTTTCTGTTTGCTTGATTCAATCATTTTGTGAGAGTCTCATATAATTAAGGATCATTTACTAGAACACCCCAATAGTTTCATAGATCTACTTTAACCTACCCTCTAGTTTTTATTTTATTAAAACACCCCTTATAATTTGCAACCCATTTACTTAATCAACCTTTTATTAAGAACAGTTTGTTTTGCCATTTGAAAATAATAACATGATCACCTAAACTGAATCACAAATGTTCAAGGGCATGGTCCCATGATTGCATATTCCAAAAGTATCCCTTGCACAAGATTGATCAAATAGAACCAAAATTGATTGCTCATGTCTTACTAGGTGCAAAAAATGGTATTTTTTATTTTCTTTTAATTAAATTTATTCAAATAGACATTAGGGTCAAAACAATAACTTTTCACTTTCATATAGGGGTGTTTTAGTAAACCGAAAATCATAAGATAGGTCTTAGTAAATCAATGAAACTATGGGGGTGTTTTAGTAAATGACCCTATAATTAATTTAGTTAAACAATTGCTCCAAGTACTTGACCTAAGTAGGAATTTCCCWATGCAGCTATGTAGGCAGCAGCCATATACCTAGTAAGTATCAAATATCGATAGACCCCAATACATGGGATGGGGCATAGCGGGTGCTTCAACCCCACATACTTTATTTTGTTTATTTTAGTTTGTTTTTCTAAAAATTGGGAAAATACCATAGTCTGTGTTTGTTTTAGGTGTGAATTCACTTTTACACCGTCCAAAAAGGAGGTTTTGGTTGTCACGGTGTAAAAGCGAAAAGCTTCCCACTCCTCTGCTTTGAAACTTTCCTTGTCGTTGAACCTAGTTGAATTTCAAAGTACCCGGATGAAAGACTTTTAATAACCAATGGTGGGCTCAAATTATGGTCACAAATCGCAATTCCCAAGCTAGGCTGCCCCAAATGGCAGTGGCTTATAGAAGAAGAGGAGAAAAGAAAAATGAATAGATACCCATGTAGGTGTAAATGAACTAAGAGAGAACTTATTCTTGTTTTGAGTAATTCCTGTTTCCCTTTTTCTTTTGTTTGAGTTCTTTTTACATCATGGGTTTATTTTCTTTCATTTGTGTATTTCAAAAATTGTATTTGTTGTTACTTTTAAATTGTTTTTCCTTATTTAAGTTGTTACAATGCTGTTAGCTTAGATTGCTGGCAACATGTTCTTTTCTTTTGTTTAGGGTGTGTTGCCAGGGTGCCACGGGCCTATTTGCAATTTCTTAGAATTGCTACAAAACTTTTAAATAAAAGGGAAGCTGGGTGCCACCAACTCTAATTTTTTTCGACCCTTCATCATCTCTCTCTCTCTCTCCTCTGTTATTCCTCTTCTTCGTATGATTACATGGTATAAGAGCAATACGTTGGGCAATAGGAGTTTTCTTTCAATGAGAAGTATTCCCTCAACCCAGGCGTCAGCCTCTTTTCTTGGACTGTGAAGACAAAATTTTCAAATCGGACTTATCAAAAATAACTTTCGTCTCTTCTCCTAGGTTCTTCCTTAGTCGTAGCACCAAGATAAC